GGCGATTCCCCAAAAAATCGGAATTCCGATTTTAATCGGAAGAATATCATGTCTGCTCACTTTAAAAAATGTCTCACTTAGCGAGAGATGTTGGGCTCCATTGCGGTTGTAAGTCGAGGACTGCCTGTAGCTAAAGTATTTTTTTTAAAAAAAGGACCAGTGGGTTAATCTGTCCACCTTTCCCGCCTTGTCTCTCTCTGCTCCCCCTAGTGGCTTGCACGTTTAGCTGCACGATGAAGTTCACCGTTCGAGACTGCAACCCCAACACCGGCGTGCCGGACGACGACGGTTACGACGACGAATACGTGGTAAGACCCGGGGAGTTTGCAGTCGGATGTAGAGGAGGAGGAGGAGGAGGAGGAGGACTGGGTTCCTCTCTGAACTTGATTGTTTTTTGCAGACGTTTTATCACCCAGCTAGGGAACATCATCAGTGATAGATGAAGAGAGGGGTTTGTGGAGGAGGAGGAGGAGAAGGAGAAAGTGTCAGGGTTCCGGAGATTGCCCTAATTAAATCACAAGCCTCGAGCCAAGCTTCCAAAAAAATCCGAAAGATTTATTAGGAGCAACATGCCAGCATTAACCTAAAGGAATCCAACTCCGACATACGTAATTCGTAGTCCGCTGTGACCCTGTTTCCCTCCGGCTCCTTGGTGTCATCAATCAGATTCTCCAAACGAAGCAGGCTGGGTGTCATCGATCACATTCTCCAATGAAGGATGCTCGAGGGAAAGAAGATCCCGGTCGCTTAGTTACAATCTTTTTTTTAAGATAATGGTGGAATGTACTTAGAACATAGAATAACAAAGAGTTGGAAGGGACCTTCGAGGTCATCGAGTCCAACCCCCTGCCATACTGCTCCTTCAGATTTCCCCTCCCCCCCCCTTGTTTATGGCAACTTGAAAACAGGCATAGGAATGTGTTCTGTCTCACCTGTAGCCACAAGGTGAGAGTCCAAATGTCCCAAAGGAATAAACACGAACAAACAAAATCAGGGACAAGAGAGTTAACTTTTCTCTGTAGTCGTCGTCGGCAGCTTTCCCAGAAGCTGTCTTCAAACCCAGATAATTCACACGATAATTCAGAGCCGAAAGGCAAACAGAAGGCTTCTCCCAGACTACGAACGTAATTAACGAAGTTTGACCCGGACAAGGATCGTTAGCTAACACGCCTCCTTATATTCCTTGAAGGGGCGTGTCAGTCTCTCTAATTAGTCTCTGACTTGACGTTTCTTTTCAAATTGTGCTTGATGTCTCAACCTGCATCTAGTCCTTGCATCAACCCAACTTTCGTCATTTTGATCATCACTCAAGGACTCTGGTATGTTCTGTGGATCAGCTGCTGACACCTGAGGCATGATTGATGTGGAAGGTCCTGGAGAGGATGGCGATTCCGACACTCCTTCATCCTCCTGGCTCACGTCTGCGTCTCTCATTAGAGCAGGCTCCAATTCCAATGCCAAACCCTCCTCATCACTCGAACCTGTGTCTTCTGACACATCAGACTCAAAGCTCACAGCAGGCTCAAACCTTCCAGTCACAACAGGAATGTTTTACGAGTTGACACGGAGTTTTGATCGTGCAATTGCAGCCGCCATCTTGACTTTTTTTCCCCACACACCCGTCAGACCCTCCTGATCGCTGGAGGACCACGACGGGAATTAGCATTTTTTAAAAGTTTGTCCTATGGCAAGTCCTTCACTTACGACCACCATTGAGCCCCAAATTTACATCACTAAGCGAGATATTCTTTTCAGTAAGTTTTGGTCCTTATCGAACGACCTTTCTTGCCACGATTGTTAAGTGAACCACTGCGGTTGTTTAGTCACATGGTTGTTACGTGAATCTGGCTTCCCCCCCCCCACTGAATTTGCTCGTCAGGTCGTAAAAGGGGATCATGTGACACAGGAAACACCGCGACGGTCATAAAGTATGAATCAACCGTCGTAAACGTGAGTCGGCCAAGCATCTGAATTTAGATCACGTGACCCTGGGGATGCTACAACAGTCATAAGTGTGAAAAACGGTCGTAAGTCACCTTTTTTCAGTGCTATCGTAACTTTGAACAGTCACTAAGCAAACTGTTGTAAGTCGAGGACTAGCTGTCTATCCAAAACTAGAAAAAGGTGTTTTCTCTCTTTTAAGGCAGTGGTGGCTAACCTTTTGGGGCGCCTATGCCCAAAAATGTGTGCAATTACATGCTCCCGCTCACATGCCAGCACCCAGAAGGCAATGCACACGCCCCCTACGCATGCGTGTGCAATCCCCACCCACCCACCCCCGTCACCCCCTTAACTGCACTGCGCCTCACACTGATTTTCGGCCGGTTTGAGGCCTTTTTTGGCCTCCCAGAGGCTTGAGGAAGGCTTCTGCAGGCTTTGCAGGCCGAAAACTAGGCCCGTTTCGTCACTTTTGGTATTTTCAGAAAAACTGGAAATGACAAAACGGGCCTAGTTTTTCGGCCTGCAAAGCCTGCAGAAGCCTTCCTCAAGCCTCAGGGAGGCCAAGAAAGGCCTCAAACCGGCCGAAAAACAGTTATGAGACACATGCGTGCGCAGTGAGGTAAGTTTGCCTGCAGCTTGCATGCCGGCACAAATGGCTCTGCGTGCCCTCTGAGGCACGCGTGCCATAGGTTCACCATCACGGCTTTAGGGGTTTAAAAACTTTGCAATAATACAGGGAATTCTTGAAATATAAATTACGACACTTTATCAAGTTGAATGAGTAAACAGAAGAACATATACTAAAGGAGAAACAGGAGATGGTTAAATGAATTCCTTTTAATTCAAAGAAGAGAATCCAGATAGCGTCAACTCATAAAACATTTCTATGCCCATTTGATAGTTGCCAACAGAAAGAGGTGGGGGTTAAGAAGTTTGAAAGAGCAGTGCGGCAGCTTGGAAATCGAAAGTGCATTCCATTCATCTCTTGCAAAGATTATAATTAGGCGACTGAAGTTTCCGGCGCGCAAATCTCTAATTGGAAAACATGATTGATGACTCTTGGCTATGGACGTGTTTCATTGGAGAATATGAATTATGACAGACCCAAAGGGGTAGGGGGCAAAAACCAGGATCAAGGGCGACAGTGAATTACGTATCTCAGAGTCAGCTACACCTAGGTCATGCCGACATGTTCGCTCCCAATAAATCCTTTGAAGTTTGGCTCGAGGCTCAGGAATTAATTGGGGTAACTGCCGGAATCCTGACAGATAGTCCTCAACTTACTTACCTCATTCACTTAGTGACCGTTCAAAGTTACAACAGCACTGGGAAAAGTGACTTATGTCCATTTTCCACACTTGCAACCGCCGTCGCATTCCCCACAGCCACGGTGATCAAAAACTGGACGCTCAGCGACCGACTCACGTTTACGACGGTTGCAGCATCCCAGATTTACTTCACCACCGTGTGAGTCACTTAAGAACTGCTCTGATTCACTTAACAACTGGGGCCAAAAGGTCGCAAGAAGTGGGGCAAAACCCACTCCACAATCGTCGTTAAGCAGTGGAAATTTGGGGCTCCGCTGTGGTCATAAGTCCGAGGACCACCTGCATTGCTTTTCTGGGCTTCCCTTCCGCAGCTGGAGGACCTGGAACTCGTTCTCTCTGACCACGTCCAGAGGATCCTGAAGCCAAACTTCGCTGCTGCTTGGGAGGAAGTGGGCGATGACTATGAGAAGGAGGAAACTTTTGCACTCAGCACCATCAAAAGCCTGGAGGGTGAGAAGATGGCCGCCCTTTCCATTTGGGGTTCAAACCAGAAATGGGCTTTGGGGGAGGCAAAATCTCTGCACGGTCAACGGTTTTTAACAATGGGGCAGGATTCTTGGTGGCTGGGGAATTCTGGGAGTGGAAGTCCACCCATCTTAAAGCCTTCTGGCTGGGGAATTCTGGGAGTTGAAGTCCACCCATTTTAAAGGAAACTGACTGGGGAATTCTGGGAGTT